TTTTTTCCCCCTGGTAATTAGTGGAACTGTGCGTGAGTTTTCTTTGAACCGCATATTGGTTGTTTTGGTATGATATATTACATCCCCGCACAATTTTGGTTACATGGATAGTTCCGATTTTAAAACCATGGTACAAGATGGTATATATAAAAACTAGTCCCACCCGAACCCGTTATCATCCCTAACCACAACTTTTTTAAAGCATATCACAAATTTCTTAAAGCATACCAGAAACATCATAAAAGCATATGGAAAACCTCATAAATTTGGACCTATGTTTAAATTTAAAGAGTTTATGTATCAAAATGTAAGAAATAAATTTTTAGGTACTAAAATAATTTTTCATAAATATTTTTAGAAATTATATAAAAATTTAATTTTAGGTACTAAATCTTAACACCTATGAAGTTTAGGTATAAAACAATAATTTGACTATGGAGGCCAAATCAAAGGAACGGAGGGGGAAAACTAGAAAAGAGATGCTTGATGATGCTCAAATTATAGTGTGTATCACTTACCATATTTGATATGTTTCTCTTCTATCAATGCATTTTTAGTACATTTTACTACATTTCGTATGAAATTCATAAGTGTTTGATCAATGTGTTCATAATAGGATTTGGATGTTGGATTTGGTCCCCATATACCAACCATAATGTTTTTGGGAAAATACATTTTTTGTTAAAGTATGCAAATCTGTGCGGCCCATGGATTTGTACCATTTATTAGCTCCAAATTTGTGGACCCCACGTATTTGTAGATACCACATTTCATTTGGTATTTGGTTATGGAAAGCAAATTTTTGAGACCCAAATACCAAATCAACTAAATCCATGATAAAAAAATCAATTAAACAAACAATGTTATCTTTCAAATACAAAATGCAACAAATCCATTATAAATCAAAAGATTTTCAAATCTCAAAACCTTCATTTTAAAATCCAACAAGCAAACGAGTTAGTATAATTTTATGTATTATTTTTTGTTTTTCAATATCAAATGCAATCTAGGATGACTTGTATCAAAAGGATTAATTACTAGAAGATCAATGATGAGTTAGTATAATTTTATGTATTTTATGTATTATTTTTTGTTTTTCAATATCAAATGCAATCTAGGATGACTTGTATCAAAAGGATTAATTACTAGAAGATCAATGATGATTCGTCAATTAAACGAAGTTCAATGGAGGGAAAGCTTTCATGAAGTCTTCATATTAGCCCAAGAGGAGTCTGTTGGAGAAATTTCACCCCAAGTTTGCAAAGAAAGTCTGCGAATCGTAGTTAGGGGACGAGGGTTATCTGTTTTATTTTATTTTGTGAAGAGATATTTTTTAATTGGAAAATATAAAAATATATTATTCAAAAATATTAATTAAGTATTTCAAATTAGTTAAATTTTCTAAAATAATATTTCCTACAGGGCACATACATGGAACACAAAATCGTCACATAATCAATGATCATGCATAGATTGAGCATAGTTAGGTCAATTGTTAACTATAACGGTCAACTAGAATTCTTGTAATACAAATGACGTTTATCCCAGTAATTTAAAATATTAGTAATGGTTGTTGAAAGCATGCTATATGAAAAATTATTATTTCATTAAAGATTTATATTTTTAGGGGCATTATCCCTTTATATTATCATCCAACTTAAAGAATAGTTTCAAGGATCGTTTGGTTCTCAACTAGGTGCTTGATATTGTCAACTTGTTCAAATAATGGAGTGGAAAAGATCCACAGAACTTTTGTTGGGCCTTTGGACGCAAAGGAAAAAAAAACCCAAGTCAAGACTAATATTGGGCTGGTTTTTGTCGCAGGCTGACTATGCAGCAATACATATAAAGAAAAAAAAAAGGGCCAGCCGGCTTCATTGAGTAGATATACTCAGTTCTTCACATTGGGCTGGATTTGGTTTACGCGATGCTATGGCCTATGGCTCCAAAGATTAGTAGTCCCAGTTAATTACCATTCTCATCCAAATTTTTTTTTTTGAAAGTCATTCTCATCCAATTTGATTAAGGTAACAGTGTAAGATTTATGTACCTTTTTGATAACTGAGTTCTTAAGAAGATGAGTTGATTCATGTAATGCATGTTACAAATATGTAGCTTAATAATAGAAGATTGAGACACAAATATGTAGCTTTCGTTCTTTTATTCGCTATTTCTTTCGTTATTTCCTTTGAGAGTTCTTGTTTTAGTAAGAGTGCTAAGAACGTCATTCCCCCACGTCATATCACTGTAACAAAAGAAACCGATGTTGATTGGGAGGAGGAAAGGTAATGGGCAGGTTCAGGATGGACTTCTCCGAATAATCTTCATTTTCATTTTTAAATATTCAAACTCATACTCATGCAGGGAAGTTTTGAAACCTCATTTTCATAGTCGTGGTTATCTTATAACCCTTAGTAATATCTACCTCGTATATCCAATATTATACGCCTATAATTTAACTTGTAGATCTCCAATTAAAACATTAAACGAGTCTAATAAATCATGAAATCAATAATGATACTACCATTCTCAATACGAATTCAAAATATCTCATCCTAAAATATCAATTAATTCATAAGATAAAGTATAATTCTATCCAGATTCCAGATTATGATTCTGATACATCTACTAAGTAATAAATAACTAACATAATCTTATTAACAGAAGGGAAATAAGCAAAAGCATGATGGACGAATTGAGGAAAAGTTATTAGTAATTGGATTGGGTGGTCACTCAATTACATTTTTTTAATTACAATTCTCATCATTAAGAGGTTATAATATGATAGCTATAATTTTAATATATGAAGAAATAACCTTGGTGGGGCGAGTAGGATATGACTGTGGGGAGGGGAGACTAAAACCAAATCTGCCACACTCCATCAAATTTTTTGCAAATTTTACTCATAACTGTCTCACACCCAAGCAATGTATCCAGGGATTTCCCACGGACGAAAATCGGATACTTACGAATTGCGGGTTCGATTACTATATTGCAAGAAAAATTTGCAATTTTCAGGTGGACAAAATTTTGAACAAAACTCTATAAAACTATTTCAGTGGTACCCGGTACCATTATTTTCACTTTAAAATGGGTTCATCCCACAAGCTAAAAAGTTTATTGACATTCTTGTATTTCTCTAATTCTCTCTATCGATAATCTTTGCTAATTCTTTTAAATATATTTTTGGCGCCGTCTCCCATTTTCCCCTCCAGCGTATTTGTCCTGATGCGGCAGTTTCAGTTTCATTTCGCTGGCGTCTGCTGCTGCAATGGAGTTTTGTCCAGTTTCTTGGCATATGTGTGGATTAAAACAGCCAGCCCACAAGCCGCCAAAAAGGAAAACAATTTCTTGGCTCTTTCTGGATAAGCAACGTAAGGCAATCCTCTCACTTGAGCAGATAAACTTGAAAGTCATGCACCCAATAACAGGAAAAAAGGGAGGGGAAAAGAGAAAGAAACACAACATTGGCGTTACCATGCAAATGCAATAAGGAAATGGGGACATTGGTCATTTGGATAATAAAGTGGGATATCTCAATACTTATATATATATATATATATATATATATATATATATATGGGGAGTTCTACGGTACCCATGGTGAAATCCGGGGTACCGCATACATTGAGTAAGAAAACGCTATCTATAACTTTGAATTGATTGATCTTTCGGACATGATACTATACTCTAACCCTTAAAGATCAAAATCTAGGTCTTAATTTTCTAAATCTTATACCCCAAGATCAATTTAATTAGAAACAATAATCGACGGTTATGATTCATCCAAATATAGGGGAAAAAATAAATGCACATCTTAGGGTTTATAGTTTATATTTAGATAATTAGGACCTAGGGTTCACTCACTAAGGGTTAGGGTATAGTATCATGCCAAAAAATCCTGCTAATTTGATGTCTTGATAGAGTTGTCATACTCAAGGTATGCGGTACCCCGGATTTCACCCGGGGTACCGTAGAAGGCACCATATATATATATATTTATATTTATTTATTTATTTATTACATGATAGATTATGAGTTGAGGCTCATTGATTCATATTAACTTAGAATGAAACTTCGATAAGCCATTGATGTTAATTACCATGAAATGATTTAGATGAGTTGTTATTGTGTAAATTATAGGGTTGAAATAAAATATAAAAGATAAGAGAGAAATAGCCGAGGCATGACTTGTCTCACCGCACTTACAAATTGCATAATACATGCTCTACAAGATTAAAGAGATTCTTATTTATAATCACGAAAAATTACTTTTATATATATCTTACCGGATTCGGTTCTTTTGAATATTTTTAACGATATGGTCATCGTTTGTGTTATTGCTTGCTTTTAAAAGAAAATTGTTTTGAAAACAAGCTAAGAAAATTGATGTAGGTCGTTTGGTAAGCATGTAATATACCCACAGATTTCAAGATTACATGATATCTGTGATTTCATTGTTTTTCTTGTTTTATTTTTGGACAAATATCATGATATTGGTGCACCATGTAATTCTAGAATTCATGTGACCATGATATCTCAAATGCTTTGGGTTTACCCAAAGTATTTGAGATTTCATGCCAAATTATGTGGGTTCTACCATGAACTCATGCAAGCCAAACAATGCATTCTAATATTACACAAGTTCTCACAACTCAGCCTACAATATACATGAATTCTTCAAATACATGAATTCTACATTACATGCTTACCAAACGACCTAGTGAACCATGTGATAATTGAAGAAGGATTCCCCTAAGCCATATTCCAAAAATCCTCTTATCATACAAACATTCCCGCAACCAAAGGAAGTATTTAGAGAAAACAAAACTCAAATTTGCAATCCTCAAAAAACCATTCTCACCAAGCTCTCTCCCTCAGTCTCTACTTCGCCACCTGTAAATGTACAAATGCAACAAGAAAACCATATCAAGATCAAATACTATCTAAGAAAAAGATGCCACCTTTAATTTCACCTAACTGGAAACACAACACAGTTCCTAATGCCTTGATCCACGAGATGATTCTTCCTTCTCCGATGACCCTTCCTCCTGTTGCTGATTATGATTCTGATTCATCGAATCAGCCGCAGCAGCCGCGGCAGCGACAGCTCGGCCATGAGCCATCTGCTGATAAAACTGGTTGAACCCGTGAGAAGAAGAATTCAACAACCCGTCCTGCGAAAGCCCGAGCTCCAAACCGGGATTCAAACCTGACCCACTAAACATTGAGTAAAAACTCATCAAACCCACATTCGGAAATTCCATCCCGCCACCACCTTGATGAAACCCGCCGATCTTCCCGCCGTCGCTATAACTCCCACCGGCCACTATCGCCGGTGACGCCTGACTACCACTATTACCACCACCGCTACTTAAGTTACCGACGAACCCTGTTCCTGATTGCCAGAACCCACTTCCCAGACCCGATCTCCCGACCAAATTCCCGTTCACCATCGCCGCTGCCGTCCAATTGTTGGCGGCAAAAACAGAGCTCCCCTGTTCTGCTGCAGCAGAAACAGAGGACCCTACAGTGGCGAGGGCAGAGGCTGGAATCGTCCCCGTCCCGGTCGCCGCCACGATTGACGGCTCCGATTGCTGAAGAAGCCACTGAATCGTCTCGCCGTCGGATTTATGACCCAATTCTCGAGTCAGCTGGAAGATTCTCGCCGCGCATAGAGCTGGCATCCGAATCCTTCTCCCTCTCCCGTCCACTTTCTTGTGCCTATCTTTATTCGAACTTCTCTTAGGAGCTAATTGCTTCTTGTTCTTGTTATCGTCTTTGATCTCAACTAACTGACTATTGTTGGTGGTGGTGTTCATGTTTTTCTCAGACATGTTTGGGTTTTGAGATGGGACTAGGAAAGTGGGCACCTCTTGTTTTTTTGGTTCCATAAGAACAGGGGATTCTGCAAAAAAAAAGGGGCAAAAATAAATTGGGGATGGAATGAGATAGAGAGATGGATAGATTGCTGATGATAGTGGGTGAAGAAGAATTGAGATGACCTAAAAAAAAAGTCTTTGGTTCACTTTTCCTTTTTTTGAGTGTGTGTTCCCTTTTCAATTTGTTTGTTCTCTCTAGTCCTTTCACTCTCTCGTATTTGTCAAAAATGTTGTTTGGCTTCATCTTCAAAGATGCATTATCACTATCACTTACTTTCGGAGGTTAAGGAAGGTAGCTCTATAGATAGATCTTATTTTGAGTTCCAGCTGATCTAGAAAGCCTAATTCTTATTTTGGTTGTCTTTGTGCTGATTATATAGCACATACGAGACATAAAATATTCTTTGAATATTTATGCTATGATAGTCCGCCAATATATGACAATTGTCACATTTGTAAATTTTTCTTATGCATTTACAAAGTTGGTTCCTTTTTGTGTGTTTTGGAAGGCAGTGGATCTGTTTCTTTTTCAAGTTAAAGGTGCTATGTGGTACTACCATTACTGGTTACTATGACTTCTACTATCTACCAAAGGGTGAAAAAAATGGGTGAATTTGTCAAATGTTTGTTCTTTTTCAACTTTATCATTAAAGGCCAGTCAAAAATTAATGTTTTGACCTTAAAGATGCAAGCTTTCGACATAGTTCCATTGCCAGACTTTACGGTTCAATGACATTTGAATTTCTTTATGATGCATTGATTTGATTTGGATTTCATTTGATTTCATTAGGGAATTGAAAATTTGTTAGGTGGGTTTCCATTTATTAAGCGGAGAAAAAATCAGTAGAAATGACAAGTAATAAAAGAAAGTTGATAAAATACTATTCTCACATTTTTATATGCATTGTTACATAATTTTTAATACTTTAGGTGAATTATATATCGAGAAAGTATGTGACAGATTCATGATTTATAAGTAAAATATTGATCTTAATTGGCAAGACAAGTTTAGAGATGACTAGTCTCATCTTTGCGTATTTGGTTGTCTATGTTTTGCCCTTCTTCCTAAACGAGAGTATAGCAAATGGATTCCAAAACTCCCCTATGTGCTTTTCTAGGGTATAGTGACATTCATAAAAAGGTTACTTATGCTATGAACCTTTGTTATAGTGCATCCGCACTGCTAGTACATTGTCTTTTTTGAACATATAATGTTTCATTCCTTAGGTTCTTCTTCGTCTAGTTTCCTGCCTACCGATCTTCCTCCCCAACTTCCACATCGGGTCCTACTTCATCTGCAGGTTTGATTTCTTCCTCTAATTTTTCGCCCGTTTTGATTTCTTCCAACCCTCCAGCTCAAGTCGAGCACCTTCTTCCCTGTTGCTCTCATCGGTCTACTTAGGGTTTACCTCCTCCGAACTTCCATGACTATGTGGCATATGGGGTTTATTCATTCATTGTTCACACACAATATCGACAGGCCAAGAGTCATCCAGTATGGGAAGCTGCTATGCTACATGAACTTGAAGCCTTCCATGCTAATAATACGTGGACTCTAGTGCCACATCCTTCGTCTTCAACTCAATTGTTGGTTGCTGGTAGGTTTACACGGTCAAGATGCATCCAGATGTTACAGTTGATCGGTATAAAGCCAAGTTGGTTGCTCCAGCGTTTACTCAAGATTATAAGATTGATTATAGTGAGACATTTTCTCCTGTTGCTAAGATGTCTACCGTTCGAATCTTGTTAGCCGTCGCTTCGCTTCAGCAGCGGCCTTTGAATGGATGTGAAGAATGCATTTTTTTCATGAGAATTTGGAGTAAGTCATTTGTATGGAACATCATCCAGGATACAATCTTAGTACATTAGATCAGGTTTTCCGGCTCAATCTTTCGTTGTATAGTCTCAAATAGGAGCCTCACGCTTGGTTTGATAAAATTCATGCTACCATATCCCAGCTTGGTTTTCAAGAGAGTTGTAGTGATTCTTCCCTGTTCACTGGGATGTCTGCAGCTGACCTTGTTTCTCGTCTGACGTCTCCTATACATTACTGATATGGTTATTACTGGCACTGATCATGTGGGCATTCATAGTCTTAATGAAGGTATTCATGCTTCTTTTAATCTCAAGGACTTGGGTGATTTGTCGTATTTCCTTGGCTTGGAGCTTACTTATGATTTGAAGGGGCTATTGCTCAGTCAACATAAGTACATCTCTGATTTACTTGAGGATCATCAGTTTGTAAACCGGTTTCTACCCCAATAGAGCTTAATTTGAAGCTTGGTCAAGACTGGTGAGCTTCTACCTGATAAAAAGGTGTATCAGAGTATTGTCGCCAGTCTCATTTATTTATCTACTACTCGGCCCTATATCTCCTATCTTGTTCTAGTCATCAATCAGTTCATAGCTGATTGATGCGATTCTAAATAACATTCCCCGACCAGAGCTACCAAATCCCCGACCGGGGATCTTAAGGAGGCGACCTGGGAGTGGAGGCAGAAGAGCCCCCATTCCGGTGAGCATTAACCCTCGATCGGGGATCTGAATCGGTCTGAATGGGGATCGGGGCTGGATGAGTTTGAAAATTGCATTTTACTTGTTTGTTTAGTTTGTTTTCCAAACCTACTTAAAGGGGGCTGACCAAGTTTTGTCATCAGGTTTTGAAGAATATTCATTTTATCTTGGTTCATTTAACTTTAGACTTGTTAATTCTTCTCTATATCAATCAAGTTTTTCCCTTGATAGTGGTCGAGATTCTATCATTTATATTGTTAGAGCTTTCTCCCATCTTTGTGTTAAGATTTCACTTTCAATTCCACCATATCCCAAACAAAATCCTAAAATCCCTTTTCTTGTTCGTTCTTCAAGCTGCATGGCTTTGATATCTACGGGTACAGGTTCCGTGCTCGTATCAGTGATCTTCAGAGTGATCACCTTGTTGTTGTTCATCGTGTCCTATGTTATCTGCAAGAACTCATGATGTTGGTCTTATTTTCCTTAAACTGGGGATCTTCGACTTCGTGCTTATTATGACTCAGATTTTGTCGGGTGTATTGATACCCATCATTCTACATCTGAGTGGTGTGTTCAGTTTGGTGGTCCTTTCATCTCTTGGCAGTGTAAGAAGCATGATAAGGTTTCGAAATTCTACTGAAGTCGAATACAGATCCATGTTCGAGGGTGTCTCTAAACTGATCTGGATTCGAAGATTCCTGGTGATTTTGGTATCACCTGATCTCTCCCGTTGGATCTCTTTGTGGACAAAACCAATGCTCCACATTGGTGTCAATCCAGTTCTTCGCAATCACACCAAGCACATTGATATTAATGTTCATTAAGTTCTTGATCTAGTTAGTGATGAGACAGTGACTCGGCATTATATCCACCCTGAAGAGCAGGCGACTGATATATTCACGAATCACGAAGGCGTTCTCCACAAGTCACAATTGGTATGTGTCAAGCAAATTGATGCCTTTAGATTAACATCAATTTGGAGACACAGAGGGAACAAAGGGTCATTTGTAATCCATTTATTTTTTGTTCCTTTTTTATGTAGCCCACTATTAGAGCCCATTTTTTGGGTAGTTGTCATAAATGGTCACAAAACTATTCACTTTGTACAAAACGATCACAAACCTTTAATTTTGCACGTTTCAGTAATATATGTTTGGACTAATAACAAAAAGATAATTCTTCCCATCTCCATCCAAAATTCTGTTAGTTTGGTCCAATCAACTGTCCTTTCAACATCCACATCATCAAAATAATTAATAAAAAATAAAATAAAACGAATCAAATCCTAACCAACCCACCATCCAATCCCTAGCTACAACCTGCAGCAGGCCAACATCGACATCTAGCTCAACGAAATCAACCTTCGAGGCCGTCAGCACTAGCCTCTGGAGGCACAGATCCGCCGCGACCAGTCTCCACTCGAACGTGGAGGTGCAACTCGTGTTCTTCGCGAACTGCCGCGAACTGCTGGACCCTCCGCTCCCCAACGGCTTCTACGAGAACTGCTTCTTCCCGGTCAATGTCACGGCCTCGATTGGATCCCTGGCGGCGGGGGAGGTAGCCAGCACGATTGAATTTATACAGGAAGCGAAGGGAGGCTCGGGAAGGAGTATCACCACCATTTATGCTCTGACAAATTCCAATCTCTGTGCGAGACTGTTTTTCTTCATAAATATTTTTGGTCTCCCTATAATTTAGTCTTTGCCTCCTTTCCCTTCATGTCCCCTCCCTTGTTCTGTTAATGTAACCATCTTCTCCTTTGACTTTCCAATCCCCTTTGGCACTGAGCTATAACTCATTCACTAGGAAACTTGGTTGGTTTCTTCTTTAGCCATTAAACAAGTCTCAATCCTTGCTCTCCCAAATCTTGGGGGATTCCTTACAGCAAGTCTCTCATTGCTTTGCCACGGTGGGAGGGGGGGGGGGGGAATAAGTCGATAGTTTTTATGGATACATCAGGGCTCAATTACACAAATAGCGATTAAACTTTGGGGTTACTGAAAAATAGGTATTTGAATTTGACATTTAACTAACTTTTTTGTTGAAATTTGGGACAACTTGATAGATTATAGGTCTAGTTTAAATATGTGTAATAGTGTAGGTAGGTAGATGAAACTTATATAAGACTAGTTTAAACTCTTGTAATAGTGTAGGTATCGATCTACAACTTTTCCTTATTTTTGTTACGAAGCAATTAGAGTTCCCGCTCTTTCTCCCTCTCCCCTCTCGCCATATAAGGCGATCACCATGATCGAGTTTGGTAACCTTTTGCGCTTTTTCTACACTATTAATCAAAGATGAATAGTTCTCAAACTCACTAATGTATTTATAACATGATTATTGTAATAATAATTTTGACCATCTTCATCAAATTATTTTTGTTAAAAGCGTCCATGGTAACGTGTTAACTCATTAAAGGGAATAAGAAAACAATGCAACAT